TAAGTTACTTTTCAAATTCAGTACATCCCTGCTTTGGGGGTTTTGTTGGTGTTTGGGTTTTTTGGCTCATCTTGCATACTTCTGACTGTACACAGACTACCCTTTATGGCTTCTCCTCACACTCCTTGCATTCCTCAAAGGGGGAACTTGAGCACAGAGGTTAAAAGAAGTAAACATACTTTCCTACCTGGATCTGGTGAAAAAGCTTTGCATACCTTGCAGTCTGCACCACTTCTGCGAAGCCAAGAAACTGAAACCCCACCTTCCCCAAGGTGCACTCTCTTCCTTGCTATGACTTAAAGACCAGGAAGAGCAACAACAAGCCAACTACAGCCCCAAAGGCAACAGCTTTCACATGATTACTGCCCTGGAGTTTAATCTAACCTTCCACACCTGACCCAAGGCCTCTTGGAAAGCCTCTGGCCCGTAATAATAAATTTGGTCTGGTCTTTATGCTCTCTGTGTAGAGCCTGGAGACTGAAGGTCTCACCCTCACACTCCTCAACCCTGCGCTGGTTCATATTCAGCCCCTCAGTGTGGACCTGGCTGGCCGGGTACACCTCGTATTAGCAGCCTTAAACTGAGCAGGATTAACTGCTGGGAAGGCACTCGGCACCCGGCCACGGCTGTGTTTACATTAGAGAAAATGGACCTCACAGAGACAGTTTGCAAACACCACAAGACGAACTTTTGTAAACTCCCTTGGTTTAGTCATCTTTCCCCATCTGTCAGAGAAGTTTAAGTGAGATAGAAAAAACACAGGAAATTACTGTGTATTCCAAGTAGTCCTGACTGAACGGCTTGGCTGTTACATGGGATGCCTTGTGGAAGATTCGCATCTCCTAACATTTCCAGCAGGATCCTTTGCAACGCTTTCCTGGCTACGATTGTTTAGCAGGCTCTGCACACCCTGCCAGGAAAAGCCTCTGGGGTGCTTTGTGCAGCTGTGGAAAAACTCATACCAGTACTGAGAAGCCCAAATGGTGACCTCCAGAAAGCAAGGGCAGCCCCTTTCTTTGAGGTTACAAAGCAAGGGATGGACAATGAAAAAGGTCAGGTCCCTCTGGGAGGCTTCCACACCAGGGTTATATTCACTGAATAAAACACCAAATGAAATCCTATACCCCACAGCAGTTTAAACCTTTCTCTGATGTGACTGACTGGCTTTTTGGGGGTTTTTTGTTTGTTTTTGTTGGGGGGGGTGGGGTGTTTGTGTTTTTTGGTTGGGGTTTTCGGGTTTTTTTGGTTGTAGTTTTTTGTTGTTTTTTTACTTGGTTTGTTTTGTGCTTTGGTTTTGTGTTTTGTCTTTTTTTTTGGTTGGTTGGTTTGTTTGGGATTTTTTTTTGGCTTTTTTTTTTTTGTGATAAAACTCAAGAAACTTCTTTTATCAAAGCTCCTGGCATAAGTAAGCAGCATTTGCTATACCTCTGACTACACCTTTAGCTCAAGAAGGCAATGAAAGGACACAAGTCAAATGCAGGCTGGAAATCACCTTCACATCTCTGCTTTGGCCATAGCCCTCTAATTACCAGATCACTACCACAGCAGCTGGAAAAGCCATTTGGGTGGGGGGAGTGTCACAACTGGCATGAGCCTCCAGAGGGGCCATGAAGCAGCTGAGACACATTGCACCCTGATTAGTTTGTTTAAATTTTAGCTCATGCAGTGGCTCTGAACCAACTCCCTGCTTCTCCTGCACAAACCCAAAAGGAATTGACATCCACCAAACCACCCTGGCAGTGCGTCACGGTCATCAGTGAAAGGACAGATGGTAGATGAGGGATACAAGAGGAGGATGGAGAGCCCTCAGGAAGACAAAATGTGAAAAAAGTCTCTACCACAACTTTGCTTTGGGGTGTAACACCTTCGGGACTGAAAGAAGCACTTCATTTCTGCGGCTCAGCCTGTGTCTGTTTTCTCTCTGGAACCAGCTGCTATGCTGGCACTGCACAACGGTGCCAGCTGAGGCTGTCTGAGTGCTGGGGATGCTAAGTAACCATGTTAAGCTGTTTCAACAGAGTAGCTAATACAGTAAAAATAGTAAAATTTTACCAAAAACAGTGAGTATGTATAAAGCACAATGATATTATGCCATGTGCTTCGAAAAAGGAACACAGTTTTTTCAATTCAAATGAACTGTGCGTTTTCAAGAGAAATGTACTACCTGGATTCTGAAGATAACACTTCTGATCCTAGCGACAGTAAAATAAATGTGACAACAGAAACATCTTTTTCTGTTGCTGTTTTCCATGTGCTGAAAGGCAAACACTTTACAATCTTACACTCTAGAACCATTGTGTGTCTTATGATAGAGAGTAAAGCAATCTTCCCAAAGAGAAGCTTTTTGTCCAGTTCTTCCTGGCAGGTAGGCCAGGATCAAGTTCAGGAACATTCATTCAGCAGCTTTGTGTGGGACATTCAGATGAAAGACATTAGTATAATCTTATAAAAGACCTATTTCTTGAAAATCTGTGATACTAGCAAAATGTCCTTAGTACTGATGTGCACAGTGGGGAAAAGGCCTATCAGGTTTACAGTCTTCACATGCCGTAAATCAACCCAAATTTAAACCAGGAAATCCATTCAGCCTAGCCCAGGCTGGAAATCCTATCAAGGTCTATTGCATTTCTGGCAATTGGACAAGGGTGTTTCCCACTCCCTTTTCTAACATGAAATACCTCTGTCTCTTCTGAGGCAAACAGGATAACTCACTGGACTCTCACTGTCCAATACACCTTCAGTATTTGCTATTATTTTGTGAGGCAGGGTCCAGAGGAAGACCACTTATCCACAGGCCAACCTTTATGATAGTAAGACTGTCCAGAGCTGTAACAGGTTAATTTTTACATGTCCCTGGAACTAAAGAAGCCATTAGAGAGGACAGAGTAGACAGAGTTCTGCTGATCCATCACTCTAGCTTGTGCAAATTCAACCGAGAAGCCTCTGCGACAGGTTATGTGTGCAGGCTTGTTCTTGAAGACCAAGGAGCCCCTTAGGGTCAGAAAGCTTTCAGCCCCCCCAAAAGTGTTAGGTGATTTGTGGTTTGGGCAGCATTTGGCCAGGTGTTTTCCTTGGCTGAACGTGCAAGTCTGCAGAGAATCTGTTGCTTCTCAGTGCACCTTCAGACTGTCCTAAAGGCTCCTGAAACCCCAAGAAGGCTGAGCTCCCTCATGGACTCAGCCTGAGGGGCACAGTCAACTGCCCTGTAGCCTCTTCAGCAGTGAGCAGTTTGATTAAATGGCATTTTCTTTGGTGAGGGAGGGGAATATGGGGGAAAGGACCCAGTAGCCATTGGAGATGTAAAATTAAAATGAATTTTGGTCATTTTAATAAATATATATCAAGGAAATTTCACTTTACTACAACAACACATTAGTATACAAGCATCTAATATTTAAGCTTAAAACATCAAGCGTTTATCAAATATTGGAAAAGAGCAGACATTACTAGACTATCTGGGTATAACACAAGAAAAATCAGTTTTTTTAAAAAATTGGTCCTTGTGGACAAATGTCTAAATTATGATCCTACTCATACACTGTATGAATGAGATCTATATTTAATATTATTATTATTAATAAAAAAGCTTCTGTCTTGGAGAAATCAGGTGGGACTTATACTTTCTTTCTTTGTCACTCTTCACAATGATAACCCTTACAAACTTATCAGTTTAAACTCACCTGACTTCATAAAGGTTATCACTGATTGACATCCTACTCTATTCTGTGGTCACTTTAGCTGGGGAGCGGGGGGGGTGTTTCCTGTGACCACTGGTCTTTCTGACAGAAGACCATCCAGTTTGCAAATGTGGCTGTGGGGAGCACACGCTACCCAAAATAACCAAATGGCCTCGGAGGATTCAGGCTGAAACCCAGAGCAGGAGGTCTCAGACCCGGAGACCTGGCTGACTCCAGTGTCCCCCCAGTGATCCTCATGCCCTGTGCCGAGCTGGCTGTTCCCCCAGCTCGGAGGTGGTTTCCACCCTTTGGACAAGAAGCAAGAGGACATGTCGCTTCAGCGCATGATGCTGTGGGAGCAGCCAGCTACTTATGAGTCAGCTGTGGCTTGGATGTGGCTATTTTGCTGAGCACATCCTGCCAGTTGTTATAGGGACTGTGGTAACTAATTAATTTGGTGGATCTAAGACTTACTCTCAGTCCAACCCCGACGAATGTCTTCTGGGCATTTTAAACAGCACACTTCTGCAAACCGTCTACCTTGGGATGACTAAATGTTGTACTCCGCCACTGAAATCTCAGCTCATTTCTCCAAAATTTTCTTTTTTAAAATTAAACCCCTTACATTCATTCAGATAAAACCGTGTTTATCGTCACATTATTAATTAACATTGTGCTTCTTGCCTTCTTTTCTTGTCCTTTTCTAAATCAACAGCAAAAGTCATAGAAAACTCCCGCATGCTTTTGCAATCTAAAAGAGAGAAATTATGCAAAACAGAATAAAGTATAAAACATGCCACTGGTTCATGAACTTCATTATACGAAGAAGGAAAAAAAAAAGAGCCCAGCAACAGACAGTTGCCATAGAAACACTCAAGCATCGAATGCTTGTTTACAAGAGACATCTCTCTATTGTTTCTTAAATCCCTTCCTAAGGATAGCAAATCAAAAAGCAATTGAGCATCAAAAAGGAAGAACAGAGATGTTTGAATAGGAAGTTGAACTCAGTACTTCAAAGGTTAAAGGTTTCTAATAATATTGATCCACCCTGTGGGGTTTTTTTTTAATCTCTGTTTAGGTTAAATCCCTGCTGTATCACTGATTCATACTTAATTTTCACGCTGGCAAAAATTAAGACAAAACGTAAGGCACCAAAAAAAAATCTGCCCTGTATAATGACAAGCCTCATTAGTTATTACAGCCGAGGTGAAAACACGCAAGTACTTGAGCTGCATGTTTGATTCTGATTAAGATCCCATAAACAGGTTACTTCTTTATGCTATGTCCTATTTTGTCAGTTGAACAAGACGCTGAATCCAGGAATTCAAGAGGATCAGTACAAAACATAAGGACGGTTTATTCCTAGTCCATGAAGACAGTCCTTTGTCAGAATGAACACCGAGTTACAAGGAGCACATCATCCTTGCTGGTAGCATCAATTTGTTTACCAGACTTCTAATTCCTTGGTAAACATAATGGAGGTTCTTCTTAATTAATGGCAGACTTCTTGGGGGCGGGGATATATGAAACGGTATGTTTTCCCCATCTGGCTGATTGGCATTTTCAGTAATGAAAGCTACACCATAGCTACACCAGACTCAGCAGTAACGCAACTGCGTCCTTTATGAAGTCACCGTATTTATAAATAGCCCGCTGATGCAGATCACAGAATATCTTTACGCAATCTGCTCTCCAGTCACAGAACTACACGCCATGTTTGTGGCATGATTGTACCATTTGTAGAAAATTATAAAAAACCCATTCAAAATAAAAATTTGATAGAGAAAGAACGTGCTGTGCATGCTTCAACAGAGCAAGAAAGATGCCTCATATTTTACTTCCTTTGTTGCAGCACATTTTATTACTTGGTAAAGATTCCTTTTTCCTTAAGGATTTTTTCCAAGATTCACTTACGTTGCTCTTGTCATTACATCCAGTCTCAAAATAGTCATAAAATTTGCCTCTACATTCGAGAGCTTGGGTGCCTCTTACAGGTTCACAGTTTAGGGCAACACTCTCCTGCTCAGGTTCATTACCTCCTTTCTCGTCATTAAACTTTGCCTTTTCCTGATTACTGTGAGACCTGCCATTAGTGATGAATATTTCATTAGCAGGTATCTGGTCATCACTTCTGTAAGAAGGTGCACTGCCAACATCATAATCCACCTGCTGGGAACAGCTTGGCAAAGAAATGGGGGGGGAAGAGGAGGAAGAGGAGGAGGAGGAAGAGGAGGAGGAAGTATTTTCTGTACCAGCATTAACAGAGTAGGGTAGATTTAAATAGTGACTGCCACATTCTTGATAGAAGCAGCACATGTGGAGCTTCTCATACTCCTCCTTTGCCATCCGAAGGCGTTTTCTGTATGGGCAGTCCTGAGGCACAAACCACTCTTGTGGTGAGGCGCCACTGAAGGAGCAGGCGGAGAAGCACCAGTTGTTCTGCATGATGATCTCTCCGTGAATTCTCTTCATTAGGTTGTTGATGAGGACGGATCTCCGCAGGTAGACTTCAGGATCGTCAATGAATTTCAGCTTTTCCAAAGACATGTAAAGTATATGGGCCCGCTCCTCAAACACGGAGATTGTCTGAAAATGCAAAAGATACAAGATATGGAGATGAAGGCAACTGGTTTTGTTCTAGACAAGGAGAAAGACAATGAAGCAAAGTATTCCCTCTGTGTCACTACTTTACTATTCTCTTTCTGAGGCACCTAGGGCTGGCTTTTCATTTTGCAAACCCATGTGGCTGGGGACCTGCTTTTTCTTGGCCACAGCATTCACCCAGGTTTAGGAGGTAAGTAGCTGAGCATTACACCACAAAGGCAATTGCAGGGCACGAATCCAGGGTGGGAAAGTGAAATCCAGATGCACACATCTGGTTCTTCAATTACATTTGGGGTTAGAACATAAAATTGTTGTGCAGTTTCGCTCCAGTAATGGTTGAGGGATTTCTGCTGCAAATGGACCCAATCTCATCATCCCCTGTGGGGCTTCTACACGGCTCTGAAGCCAAGCGAGGATCCCCCCTGCAGCGTCAAGGTCTGCAAGACGCAGCCAGCAGCCATCGCCTCGTGCAGCAAGTGTTGGAGCATTTCATCCGCTGCCAGTGGAAGGGGCCCTCCAGCGAGGAGGTCTCCATTTGCCAGGCTCTCTTACACTGCTCCTGTGTACAAAAGTGCATGCAGGGAGGGAGGCAGGGAGAAACCCATCTCAAAGCATCACAGCATCTGGAGAGCAGCTGTTGGCCTGTGTACTACACCCTGCGCTCTGTGGGACCGGTGGGAACACAAATAGGCAGGGACAAGGTCAGGAAACGAAGAGAGGATAGGAATTTGCAGAAATCCTGGCTCGACGCCCACAGATTTGTTCTCCCTTCCGTGGTCCTTCCAGGACTCCCTTTCTCAGCACTGGCAGCGTGAGCAGGTTACTGCCCCCAGGAGGCCCCAGATTCTGCATTGTAATCGCTACCCTGGGAATCAAAATAAGAGAGGGGGCAACGCATGCTACTGTAAGCAGTATTAACTAATTTTCATTTTTAGCAAGAATTTGGTTTGCGTAGGAGGAGAGCAGCACAGCACAAAGAGAGACTGCTCTAAATCCCCCCCATCTGTGGCTTGATCATTCTTCCCTTTCCCACATGGTTACAGCATTTTTGCAGAGTGGAAGTCGTAGCTATGAGGACTAAAAGAGCTTAGAGCACAGCTGCTTTTCACATCCATTCAGCTCTCCTCAGCCCTCCAGCTCTTTCCACAGCCTGGCCATGTCTGCGAGGCTTAGAAGCAGCACAGTGCCTCACAAAAACAAAAATGGGCCATAATTTCTTACAAGTTCACAGCTGAAGCTCTTTGTTAGAGGGAGTAATTTTCTATAATAAATGACTCATTTTAAATTATATTAAGCCTATAGGTTAATTTGGGTCCTTTATACCTGCTGCAACAACAGTCAGTGAAGCCATAAAAGCCTGGAGCAAACCAATAAGCCTTGAACTGGGATTCTCCTGGAGATACATCCTGGAGGGACACCGGCAGGTACAAGCTGTCAAAGGCTTTCTACTACATATTTGCCAGTAGCCCTCTGGAGAACAACTCTGGGCCCCACCATCATAACCTCTACAGGCCAAGTAATCTCAGCACATAACTCGTTACTGGGCAGAGAAGGTATAAGCGTGTAAGAAATTCAAAGAAACCTGGAGGGCATCCTCCCTCCGCCAGAGCTTAGTGCTGCAAAGCAGAAAATGTATTTGGGCCAAACAGAAGAAATTGGTGACACAGGGTTTCTGAGGTGATACACCTTCATAACAGAACAAAACTGTGGTTAGGCCTAGTTTACCAGTATCTCTACAACTGTTTTTCATTGCTGTTTGAAAGGGCTAAGAAACTACTCCTCCTCCTCTTTGCAAGGAAATTAATCACCGAAACAAAAATCCAACAATCTAGTAAAAAAACCCAAAACTGTCTGAAATTGGAGAGTGATGAGACGCGTGAGACACGCCACTAACCAGATCACATTTTTCAACACCCTTGGTGTTGTTTATTCACTGCTCTGGCAGCAGACTGGATGCTTTCTGAAATTAAGAGTGGGGGAATTTTTCACTTTCCCAGTCCAGGTACCATTTGCAGACAACTCTTACTCGTAGCCTTGAGGTACTCTAAGGTCCTTGGGAACTGAACTCAGCACTACTGCTCACTTCTGCTCCGCAGAAATCCCTCCTCTATCACCAATAGAACATGAGTAGCAGTGGACCGCCATGGGCCAGGTACAATCCATCAAAGTTAGGATGGTGTCTCATGGCACAAGCTATCCCTAAGCACTTCACCCCAGGTGTACCACTCCAAACAGGACTGAGCCCTTAATGAAGAAGAGCACAAAATCTCTCACCAAAAAAGTTAGATTTAAATTTATGTATTTGTTAGCCTGGGAAACATTTGTTCTAATCCTTTCCTTGAAAACTTTCATTAAAAAATATTCTTTCATCTACTAATCTGTTCTTTTTGAGTTATTAGTTTTTTAATAAACAGGATTAAACGCTGAAGGAACGTGCACTCGCTTTCCAAGTCACTCTGCTTTTCTAGAGGATCTGTAGCCCTTGTGGGGTACATGGAACCTCTTACTATTTTCTCCCCAAGGAAAAAAAGTTTTGAATGAGTGGGGAATCTTTTACTTATGTTCTTCCTTTCTGCTGTTCAAATGCTGTTAGAGAGCTGTTTCTGAAAGCATGACATAAACTAGCTAAGAACAAAATAGTCTGAAAAAAAGTTATTCTCAGCATTTCCATTTACAGTTGTTATAAATGAAGAAAAGCCTTTGCTTCTTAAGCAATTCGATGACAATACAACAATAATGTGAAGAAGTGGCAAGTATTTGTTTCTGAGCAAGCAGCTGGATCATTCTCCTAAATTTCAGCAGAGTATTTCAGCCTTCTGGAAATGGGTCAATTGAGTGTTACTAAGCATCTGAAACTCAAAGTAAAAATAATGACTATTAGAAGACATACTTTATGTGTACAGCTGCTGAGTGGTGGATGAAAATCCTCTTCTTCCACATATTTCCTTTTAAAGTATGTGATCTTGGATGTTGTTACAGGATTTGAAATTCCCCTGTAATGTGATCCTGTGGGTAATAAATCAGATATGACAAATGACATGCGGTTTGCCGGAGGTTCTCCAAACAAAATACTTTTTCATTTCCCTTCGCGCTACAGGAGAACTCCGCCGCATATTTTCGCATCTATTCGCAGCGATCAGAAATAAACCCTCGCCTGACTAACACATCTCCCGCCAGCCGCCCGGGGACTGATGTGACGGGTGGCGCGGGGAGCCGGGGCCGCCGCAGGGCGCTCGGCTGCCGGAGAACTTTCCCCCTCCATCGCTCCGAGGATGCCGGTGCGGCAGCGCCCGGCGGACCCCGCGCACCTGCGGCCCCGCTCGCCCGCGGGAGACCTCCCGCCCTCCGCCCGCCGCGCCTCCCTCCGTGCCCCCAGACCTTCGTGCCCCCCCCCGGTGGCCGCCCCCTTTCCCCCGCGGCGGAGCGGTGCTTACCTGCGGCTGGGGGCCCGGGGGCCGCCGGGGCTGGGGCCGCGGCCGGGGGGGCGGCGGGGCCGGGGCGGCCGCAGCAGGGCGGCTCCCAGAGGGCGCGGTAGGCGGCGAGGTCGGCGGCTCCCTCGGCGGCGATGGGGCGGCCCAGCCGCTGCATGGGCAGCACCAGGGTCATCGCGGGCGCCGGCACCTGGAAGCGAAGCAGCGCGGTGAGCGCCCGCCGCCCCGCCACCTGCCCCCCGCCCCGCGGCGTCCCGCCCCCCGCGCCCCCCGGCAGCCAGACCTCCGCGCACACGTATATTAAAAACATACGCATGTCGGTATCACATAGGCACACGTTTTCTTTCCCCCCCCCTTCCTGCGGCAGGAAAATGAGCGGAGCCCTCTGCCACAAAGGGCGCGGGGTCCCCAGCACCGGGAGTTGGTGCGCGCTCCCCCCCGCACCGCCCCCGGCCCCGCTCCCGCTGCCCCCGCCGCCCCGGCCCCGGCCCCGGCGGCGCTCACACACCGGCACGGATCCGCTCACTGGCTTCCCATTTCCTCCCGGCGGGGCTGGCACGGCGCGCTCGGCACCGGAGGGGGTGCGAGTCTGCCTGTCTGGGTGCGTGTGTCGGCGGTGCGTGTGTGTGTGTGTGTGTGTGTGTGTGTGTGTGCGGTGGGGTGTGCGTGTGAGCCTGTGTGTGTGTGTGAGAGAGAGAGCGCGCCCAGCAGTCCGGGATCGCGTTCCTTTCTTCTTTCTTCCCTCCCAAACGACACAGACAGCGGAGACTTAGGTAGTTGTTTCCACTAGCCCCGATCGGACTGAACTGGATCTGCCTCCAGTCAAAACACTGCGAGACTAAGACAGAAAATTGGCTCCGGTTTCACGCCGTGAGTTGCGGTCCCACCGGAGCCAAGCACAACATCGGCGGAGCGGGCGGAATATTAAGCAGGAGCGGGGACTCCGGGGCCAGCTCCGGGCTGCGAGCTGCCTCCTGCCGCGCCAGCGGGCGGGAGGGGAGGGGAGGAGGGGGGGAAGGCGGCAAACTTTCTGCGAGGGGCGAGGGATGAGTTCATCATAGTCACCTACTTCTTGGCAGAGGAGCGCGGAACAATGCGCCCAGACGCAGCCCGGCTCCTCCCTCCCCTTCCTCCTCCTCTCTCTAAGAAAGCGGGATGTAGTTTCTCCTCGGCGCAGCCCTCCCGGAGGAAGGCGAGGGCCCGAGCAGGCTGCGGGAAGGAGGGGCCGCAGGTGGGCAGGTGGAATTTCAGCAATTGTTTGTGTTAGCAGCTGAGCGCTCTCGAACAAGAGGAAAAAATAAACCGCAGCAGAAGAGGGAGGAAAAAATAAATCCTTCACATCTGCCAGTTGTTTTCTTAAATCCTGGAAGAATGCGAAAGACTGCTACTTTATCAAGAAACGGCTGCCAGCGTGCACTGTCTGTGTCTTAGATGCATGCATGCACGGGTCTGCTCTGCCTCCTCACTGAGGCAAAAATGGCAGGTGAAGGGACAGTCAGCTGAGTCCCCAAGCAGTTTGCCTGAGTACAGGCCACCAGACCTCACTGCGATTGGACTGACCCTTCCTCAGAGTTAATGTACTGTTAAAGCACTGCATATAGCCCTCAGTCACTTTCTTGCAGTAGCCCCTCAATGCTATCTTGCTTTTCCTGGGCCAAGAAACAACACAGGGAATAGCAAGCCACGGGACTGGTCCACTGGAAGTTATCCCTGACACAGATAGACAATATATATTATTTATTCCCCACACCTTTTGTTACCAGCTGAGTACCGATACATGAAAGGAATGGTCAAAACAAGTGGGTTAGTCTGCTGACCTAACAGCAGGGCCAAACATTGGCCCAAGAAGCAGCTAAAAAGTCATATATTTTGTGTCTGAAAGGGTTACGCCATCATTAGAAAGCACCAATGGACTCTCCTCATTAATCTGCACTGAGGAATCATTCACAGGGATACATCAATCTTCTCACATTGGCATGATGTCAACACTCAGTGTTTGTCCTGAGAGAATAAAGGTTGGAAGAAACTCACTGCTGCTTCAGGAAAGTCAGGGTTTCTTTGCTAGTAATGAATTCAGCATCTCTTTGTGGATTTTTTTTTTTTAAATGAGAATCAGAGATTTCAGCTGTGCATCTTTTTTTTACCATATTTCATCACAAATAGGTCTTGCTATGCTCAAGCAGAAACATGCAGGAAGGAAGGAAGGAAGCGTTGGGATGCCTTCTGCACAGTGCTGCTAATTTATCTTGAAAAACTGAGTTCTCTGGACAGCCAGTAAAGTAAATGAACTGCTTCTGCTATTTACAACATACAAAATGAATAGAGGCAAGCCAGTTCACTTCCATAAACAGCTACTGTCCACGCACATTCTCCGTGTTTCCAAACTGTATAAAACCAAGGCATAAATTATAGAGTTTTCCTGGGAGGAAAAAAAAAAAAACCAACAAACAACCACCAGAAAACCAAAGCCCCAAACCATGCTTGTAGGTCTCAGCATGTGTTACAAAGCTTTACCGGTGGCACTTAGCTACAAAATAGGTCCCATTTTATAGCAGAGGAGTTGCTTCAGCACACAGAAGCTGGGAACCAGGCTTTTAAAAGGGCTCGTGACTCTGGGCATGCTATTTGTTCCCCTTGGATGTTCAGAAGCACTGATTTCCAGCTGCTGCAAATGAGTGGGAAGGGAGCTACAAGCACTCAACACATGGGAAAAGTCAGCTTCCTTGAAGGTAAAGTTGGACACGGCAGAACTGTAACCCGGTGTTTACTGAGAAAGCACCACCGGACCTAACTCCACAAACGGGACCTCTGGCACTGCTCCTAAAGAGCCAGCCCACTGTTTTTCCCCGTTAAGGGTGGCAAAATCGACTCCTGAGTATCTTGCCAGAAGTCACACAGCAAATCAGTGTCAGAGCCAGAAATAGAACCAAATCTCATCGTCCTCCAGCCTTAAGCCCAACCCGTTTATATTACATTATCTTATGCAATGGAGGGATTTCATCCAAAATCCCGTTGGTTTCAATGAGACTTTGCAGAACAGCACACATATTGTTACATTTCCATTAGCACCTCTGGAAATAAAGGATGAAAGATGCACATTTGAGCGCACAATACATTTACTATACAAAATTACAGCAAAAGGTTGACACTTAGGGCTGGATTCAATTTTGAAAAATCCATTTGGGAGCCTTGTGTGGGCTTCAGTGGCATGGAAGCCAGGCACAGTTTTTTATTGAACCCAGCCCTCCATCCTTAGGCTACCACAATTTTTCCATTTTGTCAGCCAAATTCGTGTAGTGTGAGGACACCCCGGGGCATCTATGGCAGCCTGAAGGTTAAAATGTCAAACTTTTTCCGTACTCAGTTTCACACAGTAAGACTACTATACATTGCCACGCTACTCCATTTGCTGGGGTTTTCACTCCCTATTCCTCCAGAGCCATTATGATGTTAATGAGAGAACTGTAATGATGCCATTCACATTATAACAAGCCTGATGCCGATGTCAGAGAAAGGGGCTTTTTATACAGTTCCAGAATGTCTCTAAAAACCCAAACTTAAATATAAAAAATGCCCATGCCTATAAAGCTGCAGGTCTCACCAAGACCAATAAAAACAAGGGAACAGGCATAAGACGGCTATTCCTTGTTTAACTCCTGGGTTTGCACCCAAGTGCTGCAGCGCTTTCAGTCCCTGTTGTGGAGTGCTTCCATTGCATAACAACATGACTCGGGGAGAGAATAGCAGTTCTTAGCTATACTATACCATTGTTAACATCTGGATTGCAGTGCTGAGAAAACAAAATTGCCATCGTTTTGATAGCTGTTACCGTTCTGGTGTTACAGAAAATTTACAATGCAGAAGCAATCAGGAATCCCACTGCACAGAGGCTGTGCAGACCCACCGTCTAAGAAAGCAAGTGACAGCTGGTGAGAGGAAGGGGAAAGGCACAATCACATACCCAGACTGATGTACCTCCCTTAAAAACAAAAACCCCCAACCGCATCACCTGCAAACAATTCCAGGCTAACCTCATTGCAAACTATCTACTCCTTATGGTTGATGCAACAAAGTTTGCCATCACCAACTGAGCTGAGGGAGGCAGGGCATCCTGTGGACAAGAGAGTCATGGAAGAGGGCATAAAGGCTCCCCTGGGAGCAGCAGATAAAGGCATGGGGACGCCAGCATTACTGGCAAAGAGAGCAGAGCCGTGCTGTAGAGACAATGGTGGACTGATGACAGCTACGGCGGAACTGTCACAACCTCACATGTGAAAATAAAAGACTAGATGGAGGCAAATAAGGAGGAAAGGCAGGAGGTGGCTTGGCTCTGACCACAGCAGCAGACAGGGAAAAGGATGTTGGGAGCTTGTGTTTAAATAGATCAAACTGCCTGATAAGTCAAAGGTTCAAGGAGGAGGAAGCTACAAACAGAGATGGGAGATAATGAGGGCCTTGATTAAAAAGTTTATTGTCTGGATAGATATGCATAAAGTTGTAGTAACGCTATGAATGAAGAAGGGTAAATGCTGGGGACACTGAATCACAGCACAGTGGGACAGCTCAGTCACATTAACTGAAAGCAAAGGGTCAAAGATGATCCCTGCACTCAGGGCTCTGGAGACAAGATGAGCAGCAAGGCTGCAAGAAGTGAAAAGGCCTCTAGAATTGGCCATGCTGGATTTAAATTGAAAATTGGACTTCTAAGAGACAGACAATGGTTGAGAGCAAACAGGGAGATTTTTTTTCCTTCTCTTGTTGATATAAAATAGCTGAGGAGAACTGTGCCAGTGCAGAGCAGTGCAGAGCAGTCCCTGGTCTGCGGTGAGGGAGATGCTGAACCACAAGCCAGAGACAGCAGGGAGGTGGCAGAGGGAAGAGGGGAATGAGGACAGGTGGCAGCAAGAGTGTGTAAGCCCCAGGCAATGATGATTTTCTGTTTCTTCAGCTGTGCCTCCTACCAGAAATGCATAACACCATCTAACAGAAGCATGATACAAGGGCGAAATGAAAGGGTTAAGGCTGACTGAAATAACTAGACTGGTAGAACAACAGGTCGGTGTGCCAACAGGGTCAATTCAGCTTTTCATCCTTTGGAGGTATAGATAAACTATAGACCTGCCAAGTCTAGTGTTTTTCCCTGTATTTCTTGGCCCTCACTTCAGGGAATTTCAAGGAATCCACTGTTTTTTTCTTTTGCTTTCTTTCCCCCCCCCCCCCTTCTTTTTCTAGAGCTGGACTTACTGTTTGGTGGAAAAGGAATTAATGTAAAATCAGCAATTGATTTCTGTGTCAAGATACAGCTCTTTCACAGAAGTGTTTCAAAGGTACCATCGCTTAACTTCTGCCCTAATTTAGATTATACAACATCAGATGCTCAAGTATCTCTTTCTCAAGACAGAATTCTGAGCAAATATTTCTCTAACTTTCCTAATTCCCACAAGCTAATTTTTTCCCTTTACATACTTTTCAGTTGAATTTTTCCCAGAAACACTTTATGGGGTTACTCTGGACCAAAATGCTGGAGTCCCTTGGGTTTCAGAGAAAAAAAAAATTAAAAGAAAATGTTCCTTTAAAATTTTAA